ATTTTGTTGTTTCTCCCTGGCCGACTGCTCCGTATCATGGTGCTCCTTGCTGCTGGGGTAATGACAACTGTGGAAGCAACTTTGGAGGCTGCAGGGTTTTCAGGTGACTCCCTGCTCCCTTCTCATCTTTCTTGTCTCATATGAAGCTCAGAGCCTGTGCTTGCCCCCATTGAGTTACTGCTGGCCAGAAGTGACTGTAAGGGCACTTTTTCACCCGTGGTGTGGATGTGCCTTTGCTCACTTTGCCCCTAAGGGGGGAGGAAAAAAAAAAAAAAAAAGCTTGCTCAGGCAAACCTGGTGACTTCCTTCCCTCTCTGCCTGGTGGGAAGAGGGGAACCAGGAGCAGCTCTGCAGGATGGGGCCTTTCCCCTGCGGAGTCTGCTCCTCGGTGAACCGGGTCAGCGCGTGGCGGCAGTGACTTGGTCGATGCTTTCCAAATCCACCTCCTGCTTCCACAACCTGCTCTGCCGCTGTCCTCCGAGGAGGTGCGGCTGCGAGTTGGCGGTCGGGACCACGTCGCGCGGTGAAGGAGCGAGAGCCATCCTCTTTGGAGCCCTTCTGGGGATGGGAAGAATAGAAAATTAAAAGTAGGCTGGTCTTCTGTGGCACGAACGTGTCTGGCTCCTCCTGTGCCCGAGATAAATCCAGCTGGATTTAAAAAGTCCCCTCTAGTGTGGAGACGGCGAAGCGGGGGCATCTCTTATTCAGAAAGGCCAAAGCAGTTCTCTAGCAAGGCTCGTGGGGAAACGCGGGATAAAACATTGAAGGTGGCCCACCCAGCAGTCACAAGTTGCCGGTTCCTTGCTGGGGAGATGTTACCAGTCCAGATTTGGAATCGGTTTGCCCTTCCTATGTTGTAATAATTAAACAAATGAGGCTGTATTTGCTGTGGGTGCTTGCAGTGCTGGGTTCGAGACTGCCAGGTCAGTCTGCCTGCACGTGGGCAGGTGCCTTATAATATAGGAAGAAGCCAGTTGTCAAAGTGGATTTTTAGCTGCGTGGCGGCTTTGGGAAGCGCTGAGCTGAGCAGTGCAGCCAAACAAGGTGGCCAGCTTTCGCCTTGGAAGGGCTTGGGAGGTCCCCGTCACTTTTTTCCCACCTTTCTTGGGGCGTTGCATCAGAAGGGTCGAAGCTCCTTCACCTCTTGCCCTGCAAGACCAAGCGCCTGGGCGCGTTGCTCGACTTGAAAACAAGCAGCCATTGTTGGGAAGTGTTAGAGCTGCGTGGGAATGGGTACGGTCACGCCAGGTTTCGCAAGGGGAGAAAATGTACTCCTGGCTTGGCAGGTGTGATTGAGAGCAGGCTACGTTCAGCATTGCTCTGCTAAATCTTGGCAGGCAGATGTCGGGTCCTGGTGTTTTCCTCCAGGGCACTTCCCAAAAAAACCTGCCGTACCAAGGGAGGCACTGCCTATTTGGCAGTGGGCTGAGGTGCCCACCGGGATCGCAGCTCTGGTTCTTAGCCTGTAGCAGGGTAGCGATGCTAAGAGGAGCCCCTGAGGTCTCTTTCTGGGGATCCCTGGGTGAAAAATCGGTGCTGTGTTGTTTTTCCTCCTTGATCATGAATTGCTGGGACGAAAAATATTTCCCTTGCTATTAACCATTGTGCTCCACCCAGCTGGAAAAGCCGTTTCCAGCAGGTCACAGTTTGGGAACTGGTTAGCGGTTGCACTGTCTGGAGCCAGAAGCGGAGACCATCGCTGCCACGTGAAGGTGGATGGGCTGTTCCCCTGCTGCCCCAGCCAGCCCGGATTTGACTGCTTTCGGCCGTAGGCTTTGCTAGTGCAGCCCAAGCAGACGGCCGCGGAGCCGCAGCCCCCGGCCGGGGATGCCGTTCTTTCAAATTCCCATGACGTGCCGAGGGATTACGAGATTTCCCTCCCCTTAATGCCAGCTAGAGAGCCCGGTGCATGGAACGGTAACGCGGCCGATGGCAGCGCGCGTCGGCTCGGTCCCTTCACCTGGCTGCAGCACGCGCCTTCCTGCCTTGCCCCCCTCTCGACTCGTTGCCGGACGCTGCAGGCCAGGTTTGGAGGGGGTTTGATGTGCGAACCGTTTGTTCGATTAGGAAGGTGCATGCAATGTTTGATGATAATTTTAGCCAGGGCAGATTTTGCTAAGCTGCCGATTTCAGATGAGCTCTGGTAAAGCCACGGCGGGGATTACTGTGGTTAATTCAGCACTTGATTTCCTTAGCAGTGATTCCCCCTTCCTCTCCCCACCCCCAGATTCAAATTCTCCTTTTTAGAACTGTTTATTTCTCCCAAAAGTGGGTTTGTGCCTGGGAGCTGGCTCGGTCCCCACAGCTGGTGCTGTGAGGAGGGACCAGCATCCGAAGAGGACTGGGGTGTCTGGTGGCAGGCAGGTCGCAGTTGGCCAAGTGGTGTTGGGATGGAGTGGAGTTGAGTGATCACAGCAGTCATCCATCCCCGCTGTCTCCTATCCGTCACATCCAAGCAGCGCGTTTCTCTGTAGGAAAGTGTCCTGGCCCATGAGTTCGATGTCGCAGCTGTCCTGCAAGCAGAGATAGAAAAGTACCTGCGACCTGAGTAGCGAAGCCCTGGTGATCTGCTTTTCCTCCTAGGTTCACCTCTTCCCTGGAAACCTTTCCCTGAGATAGAGAAAATTCCTCAGCTAACGCCTTAAGCTATTTTAAAGCCAAGAGCTGCTTTATGGGGCGTGTTTACACCCTCTGGTCTGATTAGTTGCCAGAGGGAGAGGTGGGAGTGAAGGGGTAGAAATCTTGCTGTTCTGAAGTTGCTCATGTTTTTCCTTCTGGAAACGCCCATGGACAATGTGCCGGCTTTCCTCCAAGGTGACACAGGGCTTTCCCAGGCTGTCCAGAGGAGATTAATCCAGCAATGGACCTTGAACAGTGTCCAGATAAGTCATTCCTTGGTTAGGAAACTGGTTTGCCTTGCCATCGTGGGCCTGCCCACCAGCTCAGGACCTGCATCCCGTGTGCGCTGCTACCTATCTGGTATCCCTCACGAGAAGTGCTTCTGCTCCTCTTATCTCTTGGTAGCAGCTCTCCCAGCGTGCTGTAGGTTATGATGCCCTCAGGTTTTTCCCTCCTGCATGAATCAACCTGAAACAGCTGCAAAACCAAGCCTGCAAACTCCGTTTAACGTTCCCCTTCCTTCCGCTAGCGCAAATTCATGCAGTTTACGTCTGAATTACGTGGCGTCTGCTTGGAAGTCTGGCCTGGGAAGCAGATACCAGACAGTAACATATCTGATATGGAGGAGCTGGCTAAAATCCTTTTTTCAGCAACACCCACAAAAAAAATACAGGCTTATTGCCTGGATCTGATGATGGATTTGAACTGATGCCAGCGGAAAGGGTTTCACCAGTCCCTTTGAGCTGGCGTTGAGGTGATGAGCTGCTTGCTTTGGGGGTGCAGCTTGGGAGATTGGGGCTTTTAGGCTTTTCTGGCCTCTAGGGGAGCGGGGCCGGGTACTTCTCCCGTCCAGCCTCTTGGACGAGATGCTGGATGTCCTCCTGATAGCCTGGGCTGACCTGAGGGTTTTATGTCCCCATTCCCATCCTTGCGGGTGGAAGCAAAATACCAACACTGTTTTCGTCTCATCAGCTGGGTTTCTCCAGGAGTTGCGGCTCTGAGTGCCGTAGCCACCCTGATCTCAGACTCTGCAGATCGCGCCTTTCTGGGGTGGATCGTCTCAAGTAAATAGTTTCATTCTTCTCCCCTTGAAGACTGTTTCCCACATCAAAGCTTTCAGGGAGCTTTTGGGATTATCATGGCATGGCAAACCCATCCTTGAGGCCACTGTGGCTTGTCTCTTTCCATCATCTTGATGTCTTCAGGACTTTTCTCGAGGTCTCCTGGGTCTTTGGGGATGCTTTGTTAATCCCGCTCCCCGCAACGATGTTTCATCCTGCTTAAGTGACAAAATTAAGTTCTGTAGTGCCACAATCAGAGGGAAGGGACCGCATCGAGGCCTGTGGTCAGCTGCCAGGGTGGGAGGTCTCCTGTGCAGCGGCGTGCTGGGGAGGGGGTGCACCAGGCTGTCTTTGCTGGCTCTTTTCCTAATGCTCGGCTTTCATTTCCCTTTTGTCTGGGTTGCCTTTCTACTCCAGCAGCAGAAACGGGGCTTTCTGTTGACCAGTCAGGTGGGATGTTTGCAACAGTGGAGGAGTTGGAGGCTTTTTTTCCCCGCTCCTTTCAGCCCAGCACACTTGAATGTGATGAGACGGTGGTAGGTGCTGGAGTCTTGAGTTGCCTCTGGCAGAGCGAGGAAGGATGGGTGGCTGTTTTAGAGCTTCTCTTACAATGGAAACATCTGTAACGCAGAGGAGATTGAAAGTCAATGCAACGTCAACTATCTTTTGTTGAAATGTTCTCTCTTACTGAGTTTTTTTTCCTCTGCTTTTAGTGTCATTTTTGGAAGGATGCACCATGTCTTTAACCTGCGGGATGCCCTGCTCCTGGGGAAATGCTTGGAGAAACACGGTGGAATCCGAGTTTCTGCTGGGACCACCCCAGCTTTCTTGCTATTGCACTTTTGGGCAAAAAAATCACTCTGGACCAGTTGGTGCTGGGTCTGTTGGAATGTGGACTGTGCTCTGAGCTGCACAGGTGCCTCTGCCCATGCGCGGCTTGTCTGGAGGGTTGCAGGGTATTTGTGTTGTACAAATAGTCTGACTTTCTTGGCAGAAAACTCGGGAGAGCCAGAGATGGGCTAAAGGGGATGTTTCAAGGCTTTTTGGGTGCCTCTTTTTTTTTTTTAAACCTCGGTGGTGGTTAGGTATCAAATCCGCTTTAGCCTTCTGGTGACAGAAATGATCAGCCAGAGAAGGAGATCCAATTCTGGGCTCCTATAGCAACAGATCTGTTCCCTGATATGTTTGGTAATACTCATTTCTATGACTACGGCAGTCAAGGTGGACTGAAGAGAGCCACAGGCTGGAATGGCTTGGAAAGACAACGTGCTGCAAGGAGCATCTGCTGATTTAACACTTCTCTTCCTTTGCGCTTTTCAGCAAATCCAGTTTGCAGATGACATGCAGGAATTCACCAAGTTCCCAACCAAGACTGGCCGTCGATCCCTGTCCCGCTCCATCTCGCAATCTTCCACTGACAGCTACAGCTCCGGTAGGTGCTGGGCTCCTTGCCTCCATGTGATCATCTCCCAAATCCAGTTTCAGTGCCACTGTGAACAGATGCTGCTCGCACTGGGTGTTAGGATGCTCCACGCTGCTATGCTCTACTTGGATACGAAGCAGATAATTTTGGGGGTTCCTGCATTGATTGTTCCTGGCTTTTGCCTGGCAGGAACATCTTTTCCCCAGGTGCAGAGCCTTGGGTTTTGCAGAAATCTGGACAAGTGCAGGGCTGTCCCTGTGCAGTGTCCTCTGTGTCTTGAACAGATCTTGCGTGACAGTGAAACTGGTTACACTCAGTATAAGAACGTATCTTAGCTCCAGCGGTTTTTGGGGAAGGAGGAATACTTGATTGCCTCTGCTCTGACTAGTGCCTCCATCTAAATTCAGCTAGGTTGGGTTTTAATTTACCTGCCTTCCTTTAAGAGAGGTTTGTGTTCTGCCAAATCACCCTTGTGTATTCTCATAGTTAAACTTCAGTATATCAGTTAGCTTGGTAGTTTAAGAGGTAACATGAGTGTAAAATTCATCTGGACGTTGGCTTTCCTTACGAGATTTGCAGTTTGAGCCATTAGCATGTGCGTACATGAAAGCCTGGAAGTCAAGTGGAGGAGAAACCTACCCAAATGGTAGGAAGTACCCTGACTGCCAAGCTCCCGAGATCCTAGGGTAACACGCGTTTCTCTCCTGGTTTAGCTGCCTCCTACACTGACAGCTCTGATGATGAAGTGTCCCCCCGTGAGAAGCAGCAAACCAACTCCAAGGGCAGCAGCAATTTCTGCGTGAAGAACATCAAGCAGGCAGAGTTTGGGCGCCGGGAGATCGAGATCGCTGAACAAGGTAAAGGTGGAGTGTGGGGTTTATGGGGCTGGATGTTTTGCCCTCTGGAAGCCGGGAGTCAAGCCAAGGCACTTCCCGAAACTACGGCCTTGGATGCGTTGACTCCCTTGTCTCCACCCCCCGAATCAGCAGATTATGCGGAGAAGAGCTAGATGCGCCAACAATGTGTTGCATCCGTTTTCTAACAACAGCAAGGCTCTTGCAGGGCTTAATGTTCTGGTGGGTTTGGATGGGAAACCTCAACGGACAAAGATCTTGCAATGCCTTCGGAGACGCTAAAACTGATGGTCCCAACCCCTTCCCTTGGGGCTTGTGGGAAGCTGAGTTACAATTTCAGTGGGGCTGGTTGGGTAACTTTGCTTTCAGGCTCCTTTTAGACACATGCTGCCAAAGCTGTGGAAGGGGGAGACAATGCAGGCGCGCTTAGAGCAGCTCTTTTGATTTGTGGCGGCACCATATTCATCTTCTTTAGGTGCTTGCTTCTCACTGATGTAATTTTGCTGCAGGGCTAGTGACTTCTTTAGCTGGGGCACATCACGTTTCTTCCTTGGGCAAAACTTGCGCGAGACCTGTCTCATTATGTGGTCGCAAGGGCTCTGTGTCCTGAGCAGCTTTGTCAAAGTGATGAATGACGCTGACGTTTTGATCCCACGGTGGACAGACCTGCTGGGCCAGGGGTGGGGAGCTCTCTCCCCAGCTGTATAACAACTATGGCAAAAACCTTGGGGTTGGATGTGTCGTATGAGTCCCTGGGAAGGGGAGCAGGTCTGCCAGAGAGGGGTCCCTCTGGAGTAAGCCATCATTAAAACCCCTCTGTTCCTTTTACAGACATGTCTGCTCTGATTTCACTCAGGAAACGAGCTCAAGGAGAGAAGCCTTTGGCCGGAGCTAAAATCGTGGGCTGTACACACATTACAGCACAGACTGCGGTGAGTGGCTGCTCGTTCGGGGCATCTAGGGCAGAAGAGATCAGCTTTTCCCTGAGGAAGAAAGTCTCTAAGTTTTCAAGCTGTGAGGAGTAGGAGGAGGCACCTCTGGTTTTGTGAAAACACCTTGGAGAGGTCCTGCTGCCCACGTTTTCCTGGGGTGATGTTTCGTGGAGCTGATTTCTCATCTGCTCCTCGCTGTCCATTCGTGCCATGGCCGTTGCCGCTCCCTGGGGGCTGCTGCTCACCCCTCTGTGTTGCAGGTGCTGATTGAGACGCTGTGCGCGTTGGGGGCGCAGTGCCGCTGGTCTGCCTGTAATATCTATTCCACCCAAAACGAAGTGGCAGCTGCCTTGGCAGAAGCTGGTGAGTTTGACAGAGCCTTGGGGACCGATGCTCCTTTCCCGTCCTTTTCCTGGCCTTTCTTGGTTCTGTAGGCTTGTCCCAGCTGGCCGTTGCTGCTTTTTAATCCTCTCCAGAGGGCCCATTTCTCTTCAGGAGCGGTTTGCAGCTGCTCTGTAAGCAGTGAGGTCTGAAATGGCCTTTAGCTGCTCAGCCCAGCCCAGGGCAGGGTTTGTGTGTGCTGCAACACAAGGAGAGTCTGTATTGGTCGTAGGTTTAACTTTTGACATGGTGAAAGCAAATTAGATGCTAGAGGAAATAATTCTTGTGCGTTTCCTGCTGCAAAGCACAGGCTGAATACCAAGATCCAAAGTTGCTGCAGTGGAGGTTTCCAAGGAAGGGGTGGACCTTCAGGGAGGGATAAGCAGGTCTGGTCCTGCTGTGGGCTGGGATTTGATCTCTGGATGGCCTGTTGGCCCTCTCGTCTGTGGCTTTTCTGAGTAGGCCAAGCTAAAGACAGCACTGTGCGCTTCTCCAGCCCTTTTGTGGGAGCGTTTTTGCTGTTAGTGGTGGTGGAAGGACCAGGAGGAGCAGTTGTGCAAGGCTGGGCGTCAGCCTCTGCTCGGGCCTCTGCTGGGCTCCTCTGACTCTTCCAAACTCAGCAGATGCCAAGGATGCTTTTCCTTTCCTTCTAGGTGTTGCCGTGTTTGCCTGGAAGGGGGAATCGGAGGACGACTTCTGGTGGTGCATTGACCGCTGTGTTAATGTAGACGGCTGGCAGGCCAATATGGTAATGAGCCTTCTTCCAGCCCTTTCTCTTCCTCCATGGAGCATCACCTGTGGGCTCCTCACCCTTCCCTCGCTGGCACTGCCTGGCTCCTTGGGGCTGTCCCAGGAGCCCTCTGGGGCTGCCTGGGCACCTGCTGACATTGCAACGGCCACTGAGCTGCTGCTAAAGGCAGGGGGGTCCCCAGGAACAGCAGCCAAAGCTGGGTCGGGAGCGGCACTGAGCCCCCGTGGGGTTGTGGGGGCTGCAGAGATAGCATCCTGCAGCGGTCCATGGCGACAGCCCAGTGGCATGGGAGCATCTCCTGCTGGAGCTGCCAGCGAGGCAAGAAACGGGGGGACCTTTTTCACCCCGGGTCAGCCCCACGGCAGCTGCTGTGGCTGCTCCTTTCTCAACACAGGTCCCATCTGCCCTCCCACAAAGAGAGGGGGATCCCTGGTGGGGGGGGGATCTTTCCCTTGTTGAAAGCAGCTGATGCCTCTCACTGCCTTGATGTGCAGTCAGTGATCATTAGTGACACAAGAACATGTGGCAGGGGGCTGTAACAGCTCCCGCAGCCCAGGTCTGCCTTTCCTCTTGACTATTTGCCTTTGGGGAATGAATGTTATGACTTCCGCCGTTTAGTTAGTACCCTCCGCAGTCACGTTTCCAGGCTGCAGAGCAATAGCAGGGGCAGAAAACCCTGTTAGGATCCATCAGCTCCACGCAGTGGGTAAGGAATTCTCTCTGTTTCAGAAGAGACCCTGAGGCGCTGGCAACTAGGAGAACCCAGGAGCACTGGTTCCCAGACCTCTGCCCAAACAGCCCTCACTCAGTGTGCGAAGATGCTCTCCATGTCTTCCCCCCTTTCCGTGCCCCAGCGAGCCCTTTCCACGGTGGAAGGCCTGACTGCCCCATGCTCTTCCTTGCCTGTTCTCTAGATCCTGGATGACGGTGGGGACCTGACCCATTGGGTTTATAAGAAATACCCCAATGTATTCAAGAAGATCCGAGGAATTGTGGAGGAAAGCGTGACTGGCGTGCACAGGTAGGAGGCTTGTGAAGGCTGTGCCTTGAGTCTGTCCCACAGAGACAAACTATCTGGAGATTGCTCTTACCGGGTTGCTGCTCTGTGCTCTGGATCTCCCTCTGCGTGGGAGGCTGTGCCCTGTCCGGCTGCCTCTGCAGAGGCTTGGTGCTAAATGACAGCGCTAAGGAGGAGTAACTCAAAAAGCTTTTGGCTTTGAGGGATGTTTGTGCACTGAATGGAGTTAGGGCTCTCTGAATAATGAACTGGGTCAGTCGCCCTCTCTTTTTCCTCGCTAGTTACCTAGAAAGCCTGCTAAGGTTGGCGTCCTCTGGTCTTTGAGGCCAGCTTGTGCTTGTGTTGTGTTGTGACTGCTCTGGGTTCCTGGTGAGCGCAGTGTGCAGTGAGACGTGGGCATCTCTTGCTCAGGGTGCAGGGGACTTGGCGTGGGCCTGCAGCGCTCTGGGAACACGTGGGTTACCCCGATCACACTTTTGCTCTCACCTCTCTGGTCAACTGCGCTTGCCTCTGACCTGCCTCTGTCCTCTTCCAGGCTGTACCAACTCTCCAAGGCCGGGAAGCTGTGTGTCCCAGCCATGAACGTTAACGACTCGGTCACCAAACAGAAATTTGACAACCTGTATTGCTGCCGGGAGTCCATCCTGGATGGGTGAGTCCAACTCTTCTTCTTATCCCCACTTTAACTCTCACACCAGAGGATTTGGCTCCAGCTTCTCTAGAGGGGAGCTGAGGCTCTTTTCTGCTTCACCCTTGCTGTGTACTTGCAGGATCTGGTGTCGGGGTCTCTCGCTGCAGATTGCTGCCCCGTGCCGGCAGTGGTGTGCGCCTGACTAATCCCAACACAGGTCTCTCTCTGTTCCCCAGCCTGAAGAGGACCACAGATGTGATGTTTGGAGGGAAGCAAGTGGTGGTTTGTGGTTACGGGGAGGTGAGTTTCATAAGCTGCAGTTGGCAAAGCGATAAGTCAGCACCCCCTGAGCCATCCTCCCCCGGGGTTCAGCATCCGGTCCCTTCCCTGCGTGAAGGCCACTCCTTGCTTTAGGAGATCTGACCTGTAACCTGCCTCGCGAGCCATTGCCAGGGAAATGTTGCTAAAGCGTGCTGGGAGGCTGGAGAACAAGCATCTGATTTCCCAGCCTGCCTGCAGATCAGCTGGGCTGCAAGCACAACCGTTGCTGGGAACGCTGGTCTGAATTATAACTACCCATGGGTGCTCCCATCTGGTGTCCCTGGACTGAATTCAGCATCCAACCCGACTGTCGCTTAGCCTGTAAAAGAGGAGGTGGCAGGGCAGGCTGGATCTTACTGGTGGATAATGCTCTGGTTGAGGGAGGAATTGTACCATGAACTTGTAAATGATTCTGTCCTGGAAGAGCACGGAGCCAGGAGCTGACACTTTCCCTCCATCTGTGTGCTGTCTGCGTGGGTGTTTATCTTCCCACACGGTGAAAGCCCTGGCAGTAGCTGCGAGTGCTCTTCCCGGCAGGAAGATGCTTACTAATTTATTTAGACACCAGTGGGGCCCCAGCCCTGCTCAACCAAGAGGCTGCGCTGGCTCTCGCCCAGGGGCTCCGGGGTGGCATGTGATTCTTCAGCCGTGAGGTGCGCTGGGAGTTGTAGTCTCGGGGTCTGCCTAGAGTTTTATTGCGTTTCTTCAATGAGAGTGGAAGGGCTACCTGGGTTTGGTTTTCCCCTTTGGATGTGGGTTGGAGGCCTGGTTTGTCCTGCCTGGACATTTTCAGTAGAGCTGAGCTTGGAGCTGGGTGTTAAGTGAGGGTGTCTCTGGAGATGTTTCTTATTCGGCAGCTTGCTTGTAGCTGGCCCAAAAATGGGGCTGATGTTGTGTCCGCGTAGACTAGCCAGGTGTCAGTATGGGTAAGTGGCATGGAGAACTGGGCTTTGCTGGGATACTTCAGTGTAGTTTTATAGTAGGGGGAGGGATAGAGTCAGAGTTACTCTTACATGGGTTCTGTTCTCCTCCATGCTGATATGGGGAGCGTGGGATGGAGGATCTGTCCCCCAGTCAGTGCAGGAGAGCTCTGAATACCAAAGGAGCCCTTTGGTTTAAAGGTGAGTGGGGGAAGTTCACTGGCTTTAATCTCCACTCGGAGATTCAGAGGAGAAGGAGAGGTCGGAAGGGCTCCCACGATGGTGGCGGATGTTCAAGCTGCAAACGCGTTGGTTTTTTGAAACCACCTGCCAGCTGGTCGCTGTGCAGGAGGGGGACGCTCTGGGAGGGTGGCCTTGCAGGGGGAGCTGAGCTGGCTGCAGAAATGCCACTTGCCAGGTACGTGACTGAGTCACTCCTGAGCCAGGTTTCCAGGCTGGTCCCTGTCATCAGGCAGATGGCTGGGATTAGCATGTCTCGGGCTGTTGGGTGGTGGGGAGGGAGGGCTGTCGTAGCGCTCGTTGTGTCCTGCAGGCTGCTTCACGCTGACGTGTTGCCTTGGCAGGTCGGCAAGGGATGCTGTGCTGCTCTGAAAGCCCTGGGAGCTATAGTCTACGTCACGGAGATCGATCCCATCTGCGCTCTCCAAGCTTGGTGAGAGATGTTACGTGCTGCTTGTGAGCATCTCTTCCTTTGCTCTCTGGCCTGGCCTCTTTTAAACTCTGACAGAGGCTGAAACAAAGTCAGGAGACTCCTTAGAGAGCATATGTCTTGTGGTGGGGCGTGATGGGGAAGGGTTGGGCAGCTTTCAGGGCTGGTTGAGCAGTGGGATATGAGGCAGTTGGCATCTGCTGCCAGCTGGCTTGGGAAGACTGCTTGAGGGTCCACGCAGGGCTAGTTGAATGCTCTCCACATCCCTTGGCTCCCCCGACATCTGTAAGAGCAGGTTTGACACCTGAGCCCTTGCACAGCCCTTCTCCTTGCATCTGGCATCTCTGGGGGTGTGAATGGATAGTCTGGGTGCTGTCTGAGCAATTCAGAGCTGCTTTAGCCATACACTGCTGAGATCTCTCCTGGCCTGAGGCAAATGGGGAGTAGGTTCTCCTCCTCCTCATGGTCCCTGTCCCCCTTTTCCACCAGCATGGACGGATTCCGAGTGGTGAAGCTGAGCGAAGTTATCCGCCAGGTGGACGTGGTCATCACCTGCACAGGTACGCCAGAGGGGTGCGGGACGATTCCTGCAGGCAATCGGGGACGGAGCAGTGGTTCCTGAGTGGGTGTCTGGAGGCAGGATGCTCTGGAGAACAGTTCGTTGCCCTGCACTGCTGATTTTACGTGAGCAACAGGGGCTCTCTGGGGAGAGCTTTTCCTTTTACCCCACTCTGCTCTTTGACCGCAGCTCTTAGGAGGACGGATATCAAAGCCATGTGTCCCCAAAGGTATTTGGGTGTGTCTTGGGGCCCGGTGAATTCACGGGACCGAAAATGAGTGCTTGTCACATGTGTCTCATTGTTGTCACAGCCAGGAGGACTCTTCTCCTGGCTGAGATTCACCTGAAATTGCTCCAGGCTGGGCTTCTCTGCACCAAGCGCAAGGAAGGAGAAATTAAAGGGTTAAAATCTCCACTGCCTTGGGTTCATTTGTGCCCTTTCTGCCTGCAGGAAACAAGAACGTTGTGACCAGAGAACACCTGGATCGGATGAAAAACAGCTGTATCGTGTGTAACATGGGCCACTCCAACACCGAAATTGATGTGGTGAGCCTGTCCTCAGCCGTCAGCTGGCTGCATCTGTCCTGCTGCTCTGGAACTTGTCACTAACAGCTTCCCGCCGCCTGCCCTGGCTGGCATCCTCCCGTGAGAACTCAGCTTGTTCCTCTTTCTCTTGCAGACCAGCCTCCGGACCCCGGAGTTGACCTGGGAGCGTGTCCGCTCGCAAGTGGATCACGTCATCTGGCCGGATGGGAAGCGGGTGGTGCTGCTGGCCGAGGTGTGTTGAGGACTGTGCTGTGATGTTGTTTTGGAGAGGTGGGGTCACTTGCTAGCCTTTACTCAGAAGTTATCGCATGCCATGGCTTGAAACGGAGATTTAACTATGCGGAAAGCTGCTGAGACAGTTCATATGTGGGAAGAGGCGCAGAGCTCAGGAAAGGGTTTCTTGATTTCCCTCCCCCTCCCCCCACCCCCTTTTTTTAAACTTCTCTTTCCTTGAGGTAAGGGAAGTATCGTGCACCTCACGTGGCCATGGAGGTGCCATCTGGCTTGATCTTTAGAGCCAGGAACCTTCTGCATCAGCGAAACGCCATCTGCATCTGGCTTTGACAGGGCTTCCCACACAGCAAACTGGTTGGGTGTCTCCTCTTTCCACTTGAGCTCTCCTGGCAGTAGGAGAGCCTGGCTCTTTCCAGAGACCATAAAGTCTCTCTGCCCTATAGCTCAGGGTCAAAAATGAGGCAGGGTTTGGACACTCTGGTAGTATTCGTGGCCCTTCAATCACTGCGCTCTAATTGCTCTCTGCCCTAATAGACATTTGATTCGGTTTATTGCCGCCTTTGGGGCAAGTTGAGCTCTTGGCAAACTCTCCTTCTGCTTTCTTCTAGGGCCGTCTTCTCAACCTGAGCTGCTCCACAGTTCCCACCTTTGTTCTCTCCATCACGGCCACTACTCAGGTCCGTATGCTGCAGGCTGGAGGGTGGAGTGTGAAGGGTGGGTTGGTGCTCTGGAGCCTTGCACGAGCCTTGGGTCAGGGGATGGTTTGGAAGAAGCTGGGAATGTGCAGATGGACAGGTGCTTGGGATCGTGCTGGAGCAAGGAATACCGTTGCCACCGCCTCTTGTCTGGGATGCGGTTCTCTGGTTACTGCTCTTGGCCAGAAGGTAACTTTTTAATGATCCAAGCCTCGTGGCAACGTTTCTGCTGTGCTGTAAGCAACCGAAGAGCTCCCTTAACACAGCTTTAAGTTTATTTCAAAGATGTTTTTGGAGCAGTGCTGTGTTTTGTCTTTGGACTGTCGATTTCTACAGCCCAGGAAACTGGGGCAAATTTTGGGGAGGTCTGTGGGCTAATGGTTAAAACACTCCTGAGCATTGGTGCCCTCTTGGCTGGGTGTGACATGGGTTGTGTTGTGCTACTTGCCGTGGCTCTGCCTTTCCAAGGAAAACGATGACTAAGTCCGGGTCCGTTCTGCGAATCGCAGTCGGCGCTGACTGTGCAAACAGCACGGTGCCGAGGGTGGCCGAGGCCGGTGTGGCCCTTGGTCTGTGAGTGACGGAGGAGACCCGCTGGGCTGGCAACACAGAGCTGGCTCGCAGCTGGGCCTAATCTGCCTTCGTGATGGGAGGGGAGGAGGCTAATGGAGGGAATTTGCTTTTCCCCGTACTTGCCCATTCAAAGAGATGGGAACGAGGTGGTGTTTTGGGCCTGGCACTTGGGGGGCGATGCAATTTTACTTCTGCGGAAGGAGTGGCCGTGGTTTTTAGAGCAAGGCTGTTAGCTTAAAATGAACAATCTCTTCCTTTCCACATGACGCGGCAGCCTTACGGTGTAGGAGAATTAGAGCCGCTCCCTTTCTTCCATTCTCATGTTCTGGTTTTACTCCAAGCGCTAAGCCCAGATGCTGCAAACAGGCTGGGTGATGTCTCATTTTCAATCCTTCTGGTCCTCTCCCAGCAGCAGTCGGATCATGGAGATCCAGAGAAGGATGTACCTTAGATAAAAATGTTTCCTTCAGGAGATTTTGGAAATGTTGCCCCTTCCCTCAGACTCGCAAACCCTTAGCATTGCCTTTCCTCCTTATCTCCACTGCCGTGAGCTGTTGCGGGTGCTCAGCGCTCCCCTGGCTGGTGGCTGTCCATGAGCTGTCCCCTGTGATCTCTGCAGGCTCTGGCTCTGATTGAGCTTTACAACGCTCCCGAGGGCCGTTACAAGCAAGACGTCTACTTGCTGCCGAAGAAGATGGGTGAGTGAAGGAAGCTATCTGCTCGGCAGCCAGAACTGGGTTTCGGGACTGACTTGTCCTCCCTGGGCTGCTGTGGGGCCAGCAATTTTGGATGTAAGGAAAAATTCAAATCTGGGCTGGACAAAACTTCCAGAGGATGGGTTCAAGGAAACCAGCATCCTTGAAACACTTGCTGGTTGTTCAATCTGTTTTCCTTAATGGCTGCATCTTGACAGGTAGCCCTTCTCCTGAAAATTTCCTGGTTAGATAGTTTACATGCAACCTTTGTGCCTTTCGGTGTATATCCAGCCCTTCTCAGTGCTGTGGTGTAGGCTTAGCTCTGTTTTAGGGTTATGTCACAGTGAATCCATGATGCTAAACGGCAGGGACTGCCTAGCTGGACCCTATTTTAGTTCCCTGTCTTTGTGTGCATTTGCAGTGGGGTGCCCTGGCCACGTGGCGAGTCCACGCCTCGGCTTCCCCAGCGCCAGGGCAGGGGGGAACTTGCGCCCTCCTGATCCCCACTTACCTCTCCTCCTTCCAGACGAATACGTCGCCAGCTTGCATCTGCCTTCGTTTGACGCCCACCTGACAGAACTGACGGACGATCAAGCAAAATACCTGGGACTCAACAAAAACGGGCCTTTCAAACCCAACTACTATAGGTCAGTGCCGGGTCGGCAGTGCTGTCAGGGCAAGGAGCTGCGGAGGCAGCTGGCTCTTCACCCAGCGGGTGCTGCTGGCTGGTGGGGACATCTCGTGCATTGGGGCAGCCTCGGTTCCCGGGGGCTGAGTGACCCCTTTGCAAATCGCAGCTGGGCTGCTGGGGACGTGCCGGCTCTGTCCCCAAGCACCCTCACTGTCCCCCCACTTCTCTTCCAGATACTGATGGACCATATCCATGAAGGACCAGACCACACAAGGCAACATTAGAGAGATTATTTTTAAAGATCATTTTATTTTAGTTTATTTTTTTTTAACCAACAAAGAAACCTGTTTTTATGTTTCTTTTATCAGTGTGATTTTAAGGCCACATTTTTTCCTCTGCTTCACCTTTTCATGTGATCACATCTCTGTCTGATCTTGGCAGATAGCCTGGGATTCGCTTCCTGCTTTGATGTGGCTGAAGCCACCGGTGGCTCTCAGCCCTCGCTCCCAGAAAGAGGTTTCCGTTCCTGGCATGTGAAGGGCGATTCATTCCTGCAGTTGTTGTTGTTATTATTATTTTTTGACCTTTCCAGCCCGCATTAGTCTCAGTTGGGATACCTGCAGATACGGAGATGCTGTTCTACCTTATCTTAGTTTCTTTCTTTGTGTGGATTATCTGCAACTTCTAAATTGCCTTAAAGAGCCCAGTTTTAGCTGCTAGATCAATGCTCCTAAAGCTGCTTGGGAGCAGAGTGGCACCTGCTGGCCACCTCGCGAATAGGTGACTGTCCCCAGCTCAGCCAGGGGCCTGGCACAGAGAGGGCCGGTGACCTGAGTTGGGTGTCTGGCTGGGTAGGGTCCAGGGTGCTAATCTGAATTCGGACGGGGGTCGCTTACCCAGCATTATCCTCATCTCTCCTAAGTTTGTTTTTTTTTTTTTAGTCAAACTGCACCTTAATTGAGTTAGAAACGTTTCGTTTCCCCCCCCCCCCTTTTTTCTTTCTTAGAGATGTTTTAAAGCAGGGGAAGCAATGGAGATGGTGAGGCGATGCCCCCAGTTGGGGGGCTGCCTCTCCCACCTGGAAGCGCGGAGGTGCTTTT